GATTAACTCCTTTTTGTAAACTTTATTCCTGTAGAAAAAGTTTCAAAAAACAGGACATCAGTGTCTTAAAACTCTAGATCTTCAGAGCTTGAGGGGTCCTTGGAAAGGGAACTGAATTTACTCAGGCCCTGTGAGGTGGGGGAAGGGTTAATTGACTTGCCCACAGCCACATGTCCAGGTCATGGCAGTGCTGGAAGTAGCACCCAAAATATTAAAGGGTAAAGGAACTGTTTTCATCACAATAAAACATCAAATAGATAGGAAAGAGCTCTTGGCCACAACCCTAGAGGCAGAGTTAGTGACATTATTACTCAATATTCATTGAGTGATTTCTATTCACTGGGCACTGTGCTAAGACCTTCCTATTCATATCTCATTTCATTATCACAACAACCCTTTGAGATTGGTATTATAATTATCACACCGGTGTTACAAGGGAAGAAATTGATATTTCAGAGATTTAAAAAATTTGTGTATGTTTATACAGATAAAATGACAGAGCCAGAATTGAACCCAACTCTTTTGTGTGTGGTTTACTTCCAGTGAAGGGTCTCAAAGTGGAAGGTTGCCCACCAATGCAAAAGGATGTCTTCCTGGACCCAGGGGAAGCTCAGAGGAGAATAAGGGAGGGGACTGTAACTAAGACTCTGGCAATGGGTGGTTGTCCCTGTCCCTATGACCCCAGAGAACAATTAGCGCTCAGAAATGTTTAGTTCTAATAATTGCTAAGCTTTTACCTTGGACCCAAGAGTGAGTAATAGGGCAGCCATGTGGAGGGATATTGTGGCTACCCTTGCCCATTAAAATAATGAACTCCCTAAGGTAATTTTGAAGACTTGGTAATAAAGGAGTAGGGATTCCAGAAGCAGATATTACTCTTTGCATGAGGCCAAACTATAAAAAATTGACTGAACCAGAAACCAGGCATAGAACAGTGGGAAATGCAGATGAACTGAAGTTCGTAAAAAATCTTAGTGGAACAAAACAACCAATAATTCTTCTTCTGTAGGGTGAGACCTTAGGACACTTCTGCCTGAAATCATTCAGTAAGTTCAGCTCCTTCCTTCCCACCTCATTCATCCAACAAATGACAATTATAATTTATAGCCTATTCCACATTTCATCTGTAAAAGGGGCAGAGTAAGTCTACCTACTTGCAGGGAGGATTAAATGAGCTAATATAAATCAAGTCCTTAAAACAGTGCCTGGTACTCAATAAGCCTTGAATAAGTGTTTGTGATTGTATTATATATTATATTATATATTGCATATTATATTATTATAATTGGGCGCACATTATAAACCAAACTCTCTGCGAAGCTTCTGTAGATAAGCAGTGAAAAAATTCATTCATTCAACTAATACGTACTATGCCTATGTCCCAATCACTGTTCTAGATTAGTTATAGGATAAATCAATAAATAGATCAATAAACAGATCTCCCAGCCTGCCTTTGAATAGCTTACATTCTGGTAGAGAGGATTTCATTAAGATAAGAAACACCAAACTCATGTTATTTCCTCTTTGATAGGTTCATAGGTTGATGTCATAGTGAAGAGCAGTCTTGGCTCTTCTTGATTTTGGTCACTCAATCAGTGACTGATTGTGGGGAGATTTAAAATTTTAAGAAAACACAAAGCTAGGAGCAGTATGTATTTATTTTAACAACTTAATTGAGATGTCTTTAACATATAGAAATTGTATATATTTAAAGTGTGCAACTTGATGTTTTTATATATGTGTATACATTGTGAAAAGTTCACCACAATCAAGCTAAATAACTTATCCGTCGCCTCTACATAGTTACCCTTTGCGTGTATGTGTATGTATGTGTACATGTGTGTGTTTGTGTTGAGATTTAAGATCTATCCTCTTAGAAAACTTCAAATATACAATACAGTAAAGTTAGTTGTTGTTACCATGCTGCTCATTAATAGCCAAAACTTATTTACCCTGAATAACTGAAACTTTGCACCTTTTAACCGACATTTCCCCATTCCAGCTCAACCCCCCCGCAACCACCGTTCTACTCTCTACTTTTATGTGTTTGACTTTTTAGATTCCACATATAAGTGAGATCATGCAGAATTTATCCTTTTGTGTTTGGCTTATTTCATTTAGCATAAAGTCCTCCAAGTTCATCCATGTCATTACAAATGACAAGATTTCCTACTTTTTAAATGGCTGAATAATATTCCATTCTCTCTCTCTCTCATCTATTTATCTATCATCACCATCATCATCATCACCATCATCTATCTCAAGTTTTCTTTTTTTTTTTAAGATTTTATTTATTTATTTGAGAGAGAGCACAAGCAGGGGGGCGGGGGAGAGCAGGCTTCCCACTGAGCAGGGAGCCCAATGTGGGGCTTGATCCCAGGACCCTGGGATCATGACCTGAGCCAAAGGCAGACTTTTTTTTTATTATGTTACGTTAATCACCATACATTACATCATTAATTTTTGATGTAGTGTTCCATGATTCATTGTTTGCATATAACACCCAGTGTTCCATGCAGAATGTACCCTCTTTAATACCCATCACCAGGCTAACCCATCCTCCCACCCCCCTCCCCTCTAGAACCCTCAGTTTGTTTTTCAGAGTCCATAGTCTTTCATGGTTCATCTCCCCCTACGATTTCCCCCCTTCATTCTTCCCCTCCTGCTATCTTCTTCTTCTTCTTTTTTAAAACATATAATGTATTATTTGCTTCAGAGATACAGATTTGTGATTCAACAGTCTTGCACACTTCACAGCACCCACCATAGCACATACCCTCCCCAATGTCTATCACCCAGCCACCCCATCCCTCCCATCCCCCATCACTCCAGCAACCCTCAGTTTGTTTCCTGAGATTAAGAATTCCTCATATCAGTGAGGTCATATGATACATGTCTTTCTCTGATTGACTTATTTCACTCAGCATAATACCCTCCAGTTCCATCCACGTCGTTGCAAATGGCAAGATTGCATTCTTTTTGATGGCTGCATAATATTCCATTGTATATATATACCACATCTTCTCTATCCATTCATCAGTCGATGGACATCTTGCAAAGGCAGACATTTAACTGACTGAGCCACCCAGGCACTCTATCTCAAGTTTTCTTTATGCATTCATTCATTGATAGACATTTAGGTTGTTTCCATATCTTGACTATTGTGAATAATGCCACAATAAACATGGAAGTGAAACTATCTCTTCAAGATATTGACTTCATTTTCTTTGGATAAGTACCCAGAAGTAGGATTGCTGAATCATACAGTAGTTCTATTTTTAATTTTTTGAGGAACCTCCATAGTGTTTGTCATAATGACTGCGCCAATTTACATTCCCACCAACAGTGCACAACACTTTTCTCTATATCCTCACCAACACTTATCTTTTGTCTTTTTAATAATAGCCATCCTAACAGATGTGAGATGATAACTCATTGTGGTTTTGATTTGCATTTCCCTGATGATGAGTGATGTTGAGCACCTCTTCATGTAGAACAGTTTTTAATATGATGAATAATAGAGAAACACAATCAGATAGTTGCAGTTGGTTGAAAACATGCATGGGTAGTCGAATTCCATAAAAAGATAAAGTATTAGCAACTTTAATTTTAGCCCTGAGTCTTCCCTGGGGTACTTCTGCCTCTTCACACCCATCCCATTTATATTTCCTCATTTTGATCTTATATAAGTGCCAGCTTGTCTTTCTTATAAGTACCGCGCGCTAACCGATTGCGCCACTGGAGCCGTGCCAGCTTGTCTTTCTTAATGTAAAATGCATACGGGCTTCCCTCATATCTTAAAAATGATAATCTGGCCTGGCCTGATGACGTCAAGGTTGTCCCATGCCTATCCTTAAATATTATCCTTAAATATTGAATGAAGCCTTTCCAGCTTTTCTTGTTCAGAAAATATTAGTTTCTGCTTGTTCTTGACCGCCATGGCTCATCCGATTTCAGTCAGCTTTGGTGTTGTTCCACCATTCCCCCAACCATGGACATATTATTCATAGTCCTTCTATCCCATAATGGTGCTGATTGTGTTCATCCAAATTTTGATCTTTTTATGCATTTTATGCAGTTACTTGTATAAAAACTTATCATATAGTTAGAAGAAAATTTTTAGTTCTGAGCATATATGTGTATACATATATACATATATGTATATTTTTTTCTCTTAGTTTTCTAACCTGAAAGAATGGATTATCTTTATTGTGGGTTAGATTTGCTCCCTGAAAATTGAATTATGCCAAATATTATAGCCTGTTGTGTTTAGCTCCTTTTCCAGATTCTTATACTAAAGATATATAAAATATAAAAAATTCCTAATGTTATTGTTAATCTGGGTTTATATTTTCAAGTCAGGAAGTCTAAAAAGCCATAAGAAACCTAAATCTAGGGGTGCCTGGGTGGCTCAGTCGTTAAGTGTCTGCCTTCGGCTCAGGTCATGATCCCAGGGTCCTGGGATCGAGCCCCGCATCGGGCTCCCTGTTCTGCAAGCAGCCTGCTTCTCCCTCGCTCACTCCCCCTGCTTGTATTCCCTCTCTTGCTGTGTCTCTCTGTGTCAAATAAATAAATAAAATCATTTAAATAAAAAAAAGAAACCTAAATCTAAAGGAACCTTGAGACTCACCTGATTCAACCCTCCCATTTTTCAGTTGAGAAAATGAGAATTTGAAGAGGTGAAGGCACTTTTCTACAGTCCCCAGGGAGTCGGGAACGGAGCTGAGGACAAAACCCAGATTACTGACTTCCAGTCACTCTCTACTCCATTAGACAGACCCTCTTCTAATCAGCAAGGTGTATAGCATACAGATTTTAAATAGTGCCAAGAGATTATCATGGGCAGACTTCCTCCAAGAAGAAGCCGTAGCAGGTGGCTGTGATGTTAACTTGGTGTTAATTGTTTATATGATCTTCCAGGAAATATCCACTCATATAATAACAAACACAATCTAACTGATCACAGAATTGTTCCTTCCCTTTATGCAGGAAGTAGGTCTATGGTTGTGGGAAGGAACAACACAATTGTGACAAAATTCATCCTCCTGGGATTTTCAGACCATCCTCAAATGAAGCTTTTCCTTTTTCTGTTATTTCTGGGGATTTATCTCCTGACCCTAGCCTGGAACCTGAGCCTCACTGCCCTCATCAGGATGGACTCCCACCTGCACACACCCATGTACTTCTTCCTCAGTAACCTGTCCTTCCTAGATATCTGCTATGTGTCCTCCACAGCTCCCAAGATGCTCTCTGACATCATCACAGGGCAGAAAACCATTTCCTTTGTTGGCTGTGCCACACAGTACTTTGTGTTCTGTGGAATGGGGCTGACTGAATGCTTTCTTTTGGCTGCCATGGCATATGACCGCTATGCTGCAATCTGCAACCCATTGCTCTACCCAGCCCTCATTTCCCATACACTTTGTGTAAAGATGGTGGCTGGGGCCTATGTGGGTGGATTCCTCAGTTCTTTGATTGAAACATACTCTGTCTACCAGCATGATTTCTGTGGGCCCAACGTGATCAACCACTTCTTCTGTGACCTTCCTCCAGTTCTGGTTCTGTCGTGCTCTGATACCTTTACCAGCCAGGTGGTGACCTTCGTTGTGGGTGTTGTTGTTGGCATTGTGTCTGTCCTTGTGATCCTCATCTCTTATGGTTACATTGTTGCTGCTGTCCTGAAGATCAGCTCAGCCAAAGGTAGGACCAAAGCCTTCAGCACCTGTGCCTCTCACCTGACTGCTGTGACTCTTTTCTATGGTTCTGGTCTCTTCATGTACATGCGACCCAGTTCTAGCTACTCCCTAAACCAGGACAAGGTGGTGTCCATATTCTATGCTCTGGTGATCCCTATGGTGAATCCTATCATCTATAGTCTTAGGAATAAGGAGATTAAAAATGCCATGAAGAAGGTTGTGCAGAAGGAGCATGTACTTTCCCGTGGGCCTTTGTTTTTCTGACCTAAGTTAATGTTTACAAAGAGGCTGTGAGCTGGTTCAATTGTGGAGATTTTCATGTAGTTTTGGACTAGTTGATTTACACAATGATTTGTGTTGACTAGACCTTTCCCCCCCTTTCCAGTATTCCCCTAACTAGTTTACCTATTAGTTATTGGAAAACAGTTTGGCCATTATTGGTTTCTAGAATGAATAGCATTGCCTATACTGAGATTATAAATGCTCAGTTTAGCAGAAAACTTCACCATGACAAAGACTGAACAACCAGGAATATCAAAATAGAGTCTGTGTCTATAGGAGGAAAAACGTTGAAAGAAATGTTAGTCTAGCATTCAGGATGGTGATTTTTAAGGTAGGTTAAGAATATATAGCATAATAACCTGAGGAGGGGGACACATTTTCTAAAAACAGTTGCCTTTCCCTCTTATGAAATTTAACATGCTTCCTTTATGGCATGTGAGCACCACATGCAGACATCCTCTCCTGTTTGAGAATCCAGCTATTTTGAGCCCCTGTGCGTGATGGGGTTATAGAACTGACTCTTTAAATGTGTTAAGGTAGGACAGAGATCAGAAAACCTCTGATTAGGGCGTTAATGACTGAAAAACCTCATGGCTAATTCAATCAGCTATACATAAAGCAGTCACTACATTGATTTAAATAAAGCCGGGGATTTGTCATTTCAATCTGAAGTAATTGCTTTCCAGCCAACACTCAAAGTTTCTTAAGAATCTATAGAAGAGGAGCATACCATCATTTGGGGGAAAGGTTCTAGGTTTTCACCAGTTTTGTGATAAGTTCTAGGATAGAATTTAGCCTAGGAATTGAAGAGAGTGATTTTTCTCCTCCATATTATCTCAGAACGTGTTATGTGTCCTTGAACCAACAGTAAACAACTGGCATGCATTTATTCAGCTGTGGCTGCTCTTGGTTGGCCATAAATGAATAAATAAGTATCTACCTGTATGTCCTTGGACAAGTTACTTGGGCTCTGTGTGCCTTAGTTCCTTATCTGTAAATAGGAATAATAATAGTAATTATCTCATAGGCTTATTGTGATGAAGTAAATGACTCAATATAGACAAGCACTTAGAATAATGCTGATGGATAGCAAATGCTTAAGAGGTATTATTATTATTGTTATTATTCTATAAATATTTATTTATCACCATTTGAGCCAAAGAAATAGAAGACATTTCCTTAGTTTGGTAAAAAAAAATGTGATCTTTGTGATAGCTTTGATGCATTGGAAAGTGGGTCAGCAGAGACTAGAGTGAAAGTTGTTTAGGTATTTGTTAGGTATTCTTAAGTCATCAGACCTGCAATTATTAATCTCATGTCCACCACTTTATAGGTAGGTGGCCTCACGCAAGTTACTTACAAGCTCCATTTTTCTCATCTGTACAATGAAGATAATAATTGTATCTACCTCATGGAATTGATACAACAACTAAGTGAGAATATGCATGAAAAGAGCTTAGCTTAATGCCTGGTATATGGTAATACTTAATAAATATTAGCTCATATTATTAGTCAATTTTGTATAAATCAAGAGAAATCCAGGTTAATGTGCTAAAAAGAGGCAAATTAGATAGCTTTGGGATATCTACTCAAACTGGAACATAATAGTCTCAGTAAAAAGGCTTGCCAGTACCTCTGACCTCTGCTGCTTCTTCTGCATATAGGAAGCAGTCATTAGGAAAATAGAAAGAACTCAAGTTCATAGAAGTGACCACACGTGGAAATGCTACCTTGTGCCAACTCTATCAGCCACCTGGTCACCTTGCCTTTCCTTATAGTCAGTTTTTCCCACCACCTTTCCTTATCTGTACTCCAGTTTACTGAGCTCTTATCTTTCAATCTACCTTTGGTAGCTAATCTTAAATTCTCCTAATGCCCAAAGTCATTGGAACAAAACAAACAAACAAATAAAGGAAAATATGCCTCATTCTTTGGACTTACATGGAGCTGTCACTAGTCTATTATCATCTCTAAATTTTTTGAACAAAGATTCTGAATATAAGATCTTTAGAAAATATCTCTCGTTCAGCCACATACATGTTCGCTGCTAATGGAAATTTTCTCCTTGCATTGAGAAGATATAATGTCCTTTTGTAGTTTTCCCAGTTACCGAAGAGAAAATAGCGATCATTAATAATTGTTAAATATAGTGCATAATGTGGGGTTTGGTCATGAGATTTGAATAAGGCAAAGATGATCTGGGGTTTATAGTAAAGCCACATGTTAAATAAAACTTCCTAAATAAGTGCATTTATTATGGGGCATATAAATAGACATATATTAAACAATATTTTTGGCACTAAAAGAATCAGGCATTTTATAGCTCTTTGAAGCAAGAAAAGGTACAGCTGTCCTGGTGAGGTGGGCGACCAGCTAGCTGGAGATGAATTCACTTTAGTAAAATTAGCACAATCCAGGGTGTGTCACTCATCTTTGCAACCTCTGAAGATTTTTTTCAGATGGACTGAAGTTACCAAGCTCAGAATAGCTAACCACATAAGCCAGATGCCATTTTTAGTTTTCATGGAAAAACAAAACTGCCAACCCTGTACTTGTGCTAGTGGCACAATTCTTTGACTTGCTGAGGAAACCACATAGAAAAACAAATTACAATCAAAAGTCTATTTGGAGAGAAAGCGGGTAATGTGTGTAGTGCCTGGTGTGCCCAACTACAGAGTCCAGATAGGTTGAGGCGCTGGGCCAGGGCACTGACTCTTTCTCTCCCCAAGTGTTCATCTTCCTCTCTTCTAAGTGACCATCTTCCCATCTAATCACTATATTCACAGATCATTAATAGATTAATAGATTTAATAGATTTTCCTTCTTTGGTTGTAGGAAATATTTAGTCTCTAAAATGCCTCTGTTACACATTTTATTTATTCTGATCTGATTTTGTGGTTTAATTTTGAGTTTTCAGAAACCTGGTTATTGTCCATATGTACCACCTACATTCCCCTAATTTTTTAGTACGTATAAATGATTACTCTCTCATTCACTCACTCACATACTCAGGAATTAGTGACTGATGCATTAAACGAGTTCTGATGAGAATTTAAAATTTTTCCTAAAGATCAACAGTTTCATGTTTCTATTCATAAGCCTAGAGAAACCCAGAGCTTGCCTATTCTGTTATCATCCATACAAATGAGGAAACACTTGCAATTCAATTCCCTGTGTCTAGATAACTGATTTGGATCTCTGTTCTGATCTGGGAAACCTAAATGTCTTGCGTACGAAGATAAACCATGTATTTCAGCCTTCTCCCATCAGCTTGATCTATGACTACCTTCCTTGAATTCTTGGTGGATATCCTTGTCTGTAACATCTCCTAAATAACTGGGGAAGATAAACCAACTGTTTATATGTAAACTTTGCTGCTTTTATTCCATTGTCACTCTTCTTATGCTTTCCTTTCCCCTTCTAATGCTGGCCAAGACCTTCTGTGTGCAATATTGCTATGGATACCTCTAGGAATGAGATTCCCCACCTTCCTACAAGTAAAGAAATAGCCATAGCAGGCTCTTGCAATCATGGCTTGGAACTTTTATCAAATGGATGTGGAAGCATCTCCCTTCAGTTTTGCCAGACTAGATGAAAGACAGACAAACCTCCCACTTTGGTGGGATCACACTCTAGAACTAGATAGGCATCTTGGACCCAGGGAGACCCCATGGAAGAACAAGCTTCATCTCTCTCTCAAAACAGTTTTTTTCTGAAATAGAGTCATGGTGTTAGATTGGACTTAAATGTCAACATAAATAGAAAAACTGGCATGTGTAAAGTATCAAATTGATATTGTATGAAATATTCTTGTTCTAATAAAACCCCTTTCTTACGCAAAGGAAGGCTGGGTGGTTTTCATCTCAAGAAATGCTTGAGGAACAAAATTATTGATGCACATGGACCAGAGGGAGGAAGTCCGTATATTAGACATTCACTGAAACTCATAGTTCATTTTCTAACAACCCAAAGCTAGGCAAGTAGCCTGGCAGGAGTCATCTCACCCTTCAATTTGCCCTCAGTCTAGAATACAATTGGAGATAAGGTCTGGGGCTGAGCTGCAGCCGGGAGTTGTCCATGAACTTTATCAAAAAGAGGTGGGTTCTGAGAAGTCCTGCATCTCAGGGAACCTACCTGTACAATCTTTCCTTTACTTATTTCATGCATCTTGTTGCAGATACTCTTTATAATTTGCTGTATTATCTGTACTATCTGGTCTAGATGTCACTTTTTTCTCGCAGTCCCTCTTTTTACCAGAAGGTAAACCAGAAGGCTTAACACCTTTGGTGTCTGTGGCTTTCAGATCTCTGAAGGTTCTGGAATTGTTTTTCATATACTTGCCATCTCTGGCAGTTTTTCAACAGAAGGCCATGTATGAGATTTTCTGTGTTAGTCAGTTAAGCATCTTTGATGAAGACACTAGTCTTCTTATTTTTTTTTAAGATTTTATTTATTTACTTATTTGGGGAGAGAGAGAGAGAGAGGGAGAGTGCAAGCAAGGGGAAGGAGAGAGACAAGCAGACTCCACACTGAGATCATGACCTGAGCTCAAACCAAGAGTCAGATGCTTAACTGACTGAGTCAGCCAGGTGCCCCGACACTAGTCTTCTTTATTCATTTGACTTACCTTTATTTCACAATTATAATTAAGCATAATTCACTATTCCTTTTTTTTCCTTTTGGTATTCAGCATGTGTCCTTTTTAAAATTTATTTTTAAATTTTTAAATTGAAATATACTTGATATAACATTGTGTTAAAGTGTACAACATGTTGATTTGATACATGTTTTTTAAAGACTTATTTATTTATATTAGAGAGAGAGAGAGCATGCAGGGGGAGGGGCAGAGGGAGAGAGAGGGAGAAAAGCAGACTCCTCGCTGAGCATGGAGCCTGACACAGGGCTCAATCTCATGACCCTGAGATCATGACCTGAGCCTAAATCAAGAGTCGGATGCTCAACCTACTGAGACACCCAGGTGCCACGATTTGATACATTTATATGTTGTGATATGATTGCCATTGTAGCAGAGTTAGCACCTCTACCACATCACATAATTATCATTTCTTATTTGTGGTTGGAATAATTTAAGATCTAGTCTCTTAGCAAGTTTGATGATTATAATACAATTTATTGCCTATATTCATTACACTTTTCATTAGATTTCTAAGAATTATTTACCACTAGTTGTAAGGTTTTACTCTCTGTTTTTATGAGTTCAGCTTTTTTAGATTCCACTCATGTTATATAGTATTTGTCTTTCTTTGACTTATCTCACTTAGTATAAAGTCTTCAAGGGCCATCCATTTCATATCAAGTTGCAGGATTTCCTTCTTTCTCATGGCTAAATAATATTCCTATGTGTGTGTGTGAGAGAGAGAGAGAGATACATCACATTTTTACTATTCATACATTGATGGGCACTCAAGTTATTTCCATATCTTGGCTATTGTAAATAACTCTACAATAAACATGAGAGTGCAGATATCTCTTTGATACCCTGTTTTCATTTCCTTTGGGTGTATCCCCAGTAGTGGAATTACTGGACTATATGGTATTTCTATTTTTAATTTTCTGAGGAAACTCCATACTGTTTTCATAGCGGCTGCCCCAAGTTACATTCCCACCCACACTGTAAGAGGGTTCTATTTTGTCCGCATCCTCACCTACACTGGTTATCTCTTGTCTTCTAGATGGTGGCCATTCTAACAGGTGGGAGGTGATATCTCATTGTGGTTTTAATTTGTATTTCCCTGATGATTAGTGAGGCTGAGCATCTTTTCATGTAGCTGTTAGTCATTTGGATGTTTTTAGCATGTGTCCTTTCTCTACCACCACATGGTAAACTTTTATTTTTAGGAGTTGTTAGAAGGGTTCAGAGTGGAAAGGAGAAGAATCTCAATTTAGTAAATCTTTCTGTAACTTTGTGTACCTGCTTGCGTTCCAAAGAGCTAGGGAAAGACTGCCCCCCCCCGCCGCAACACCTTGCCATCTTGACTTCTATGTTTGCATGAACAAGACCCTCAGTGTTCCAGTACGTGAATAATGCCTGGCACATTGTATGCACTTAATATTTGTCAGAAGAATTAACCTTAGTATTTTAGTACAAATCTTAGTATTTTGGTTCTTTCTCTCCTGCCCCCCCCCCATGCATTTTGTTCCCTTTGGGAGTCTTATCACACTTTAATTTGGGAGAGGCATTCCTAGACTTCTCAGGGACTTCAAATTTTGCCTAACTCGAGAGGATGTGAAGGGATTTCTCCTTAGCTCTTAAAAGTGGCGCCCTCATATGGTCATGGCTCGGACTTTGACTTCTGGCCACTCTGGCTCAATTTTAACTGTGCATTTGCGTTCAGTTAAGATTTTATTCTTAAGGTGACACCACATTAAATATTCTTAGCCCACGCCCTTGAACTCCAGTCACTGCAGCAGGCATGCCCTGGAGCTGAGGGCCTCCTTGCCCGCCGCGTCCCCAGGCTCTAGCGTGGCCAAGGAAGGAGGGCACCACACGGCCAGTCATGAGCAAGTGCTGAGACGGTCTCCGGCACGCGAAGCCGGCATCATGGGCCTTGACTTCCTGGCCTGCAGTGTCACCCCAGAACCCGCTAAGCCCCACGCCGCTCCGCTGCAAAACGATGACGTCGCTTCTCCCAGTTCACTAGGTCCACCCACTTTTTCCGAGTCAATTTCTGCATGCCCTCCAGGGTGACCCCAGTCTCAGACGGCTGCAGCACAACATGAGATATCTCGCCTCTGGGGCTGCCGCGAGTCACCACGCACACGCAGCCCTCCCTGCACGTGATGAACCCGCTGGTTCATGGGGCCCGAAATGGTGTGAAGCGGATGCGTGTCAGGTCTGACACGCGCAGCGGCTTCCCCGACGTGGGGCAGGTTACGGTGCGCGAGGATGTTGCCACCTTGGTAGGCTTGGCCTCGACGTCAGCCACAGGATCCAGGCATCACTTTGTCCCTGACCTTGACTGCGCTGGGCCCTTGTCGGGCATCCTCTGGGCCATTCCTGTGGGCGGCCTTGGGCATGAGGGGTTGCGGGTCCTGCTCATAGGGGCCGCCTCTGTTCCCAGGAAGCTGGCACCTGGTCCTGCTTCACGGGTGCTCCGCTCTTCGCGCTCCTCACGTCGGGCTCCGCGCTGGTTCTCTAGGCCTTCATCTGCCGGGCGATCTCCTCCTTCTGGAGCGAAGTGTTCTCCAGGATTGCCTACCGCTCTACAGAGGCCGTCTGGGGTGACGACAGACCCAGGCAGGTCTGTGGAGAGTCGTGGCCGCAGCCGAAGTCCTGGAGGGCATCCCAGCTCCGTGGGGTGGGCGCCTGTGAGGCCGCTGTGCCGGTCTTCTCACCGCAGGTGCAGACGGCCGCGCGCGTGCAGTTCTTGTGGGCGGTGTCATCCTCATAGACGGCACTCTGCTCCTTCATTGCTTCAACTGCGCCAGTATTTTGGTTCCTAAGACTAAGTTGTTATTGGGGCGCCTGGGTGGCTCAGATGGTTAAGCGTCTGCCTTCGGCTCAGGTCATGATCCCAGGGTCCTGGGATCGAGCCCCGCATTGAGCCCCGCATCGAGCCCCACATTGGGCTCCCCGCTCAGCGGGAAGCCTGCTTCTCCCTCTCCCTCTACTGTTCCCTGTGCTTGTGCTCTCTCACTCTCTCTGTCAAATAAATAAATAAAATCTTAAAAAAAAAAAAGACTAAGTTGTTATTCAGCGCTTAAGTCAGGAACTTACATTCAGCAAAGTTCCAGAAAGTAGTTAACAAAAAATAAGAGGAATAATTGATGTGGCAGGTAAGTTCTCAGTAGAGTGCTTTTGAGGGAAATATGGTTATCATGACTATTTAATTTTTAGGCTGTACTACATTGTAACAACACATATTTACTTTTTTGTTTTAAAAAGAATTGGTCTCATAGTGAATTGAAATTGTGACAGTAGGTCTTGTTTTACAGATCAGTTAAAATGTAGTGAAATGATTTATTTTGGATTCTATGTGTGGGATACAGAATTTTCAGTTTTTCAGTCAACGCTGACATATTGAAATTTAATTTTTAAATTGTGGTCTAATTATAGTTTTGGAATGAAAGCAAAATGTGATTTTATCATATCTTTACTCTATATTTATATATATATATTTTTACTCAGATATAAGGCCTTGAACATTAAAATATGTGGTTGTAACAGTAGGTTGTAGACATTAGTAAAATAACAGTATAAGCTAGTTACTTTTTTATGAATAGAGGTGCTGAATAGAAATTAGGATAAAAATGAATATGATTAAAAATATATAAACATACAAAGTTTCAAAGGTAATAAAAGGAAATTAAAACAGCTTTTTTTAACCTAATGAAATATCAGTAAAAAAAAATGTTAAAATAATTTTTAAATTGCACTATCTGAATGCTGGGGAAAATACCATGAACAATGGTATATAGTCAGTTTTTTCTACTGAAAATATAAAATGGCTTAAGAAATTTGAAAATAGGGGTGCCTGGGTGGCTCAGATGGTTGTGTCTGACTCTTGATTTCAGCTCAAGTCTTGATCTCAGAATTGTGAGCTCAGGCCCCACACTGGGCTCCATGCTGGGCATGGATCCTACTTAAAAAAAAATAAATTTGAAAATACAGTTGTGATATGTGGGCAAACATAATGGGCCTGAATCTGTACATTTGCCTTTACTCCTTCCTAGAGCCTACCTAAAAAACAATAAAAAATTTTTTTCTTAACCCATAAAATTACTAAGATACGTATACCAGGAGAAATGACAACAGAAGGTGAAGCTGGAAGCAGATCTATGAGGAACAACCAACTCAGATTCAAGAAATCAGGAAGCTATGGGTCCTGGGTACATGGGGCAGGAAAGCCAAGAGGAGGCAAATTGATTTCCATGGCACAACCCTCAGAAGGATCAGGAATTGTAGGCACTAGGCACCTGCATAGTGGGTGGGGCTTAAAGATGGAGATTTGATTGAAAATTTATTAAGAGTAACTAGACTTCTAGACCAGCCTGTCCCCTCCTCTTGCATACAGGAAATTCCACCCATCCTCATCATTCCTCCTTCCCTCTAGTAGAATATTGGAGCTTTCTTCTCTGGAGAATTGAATCGAGATATATGGGCCCAGGACCATCAGACATATCTATGGGGAATGATAAAAAAGAGGGATGAAGTAATAGCTACATAGTGAAGAATCTTCACTACTAATATCTACATAGGGAGAAACTTTCTCCACTGCACACCTGCTCCATTCACTTACTCAACTCTCAAAATACTCCTAGCTAGGTTGATATCTCCTAAGTAGGATACTGGAGAATTCTGGGTAGAGAAAAACCTGCCCATGATTACAGCAGAGGTTCATCAGAGCAACTGAGAAGTGCTCCCCAGATTGCCTAGCAGGAGGCCAACAGAGGGGAGTCTCTGGTCATAAACACCAAGCCTCAAATCTTGCTTTTTAGTGCCTCTCAGAGGCTATAAAGTCATCAATTTCTGGGTAAAAGCAAGCCTGGAACATGCTTCATGGTACTTCCCAGAGACTGTGCAAAACTTCAGAAATGATGGCTGTTGTGTGTGTAGGTAGCAAGACCCAAGTACCAGAGGTCTGAGCCTCTCATGGATTCCAGGACAGTAAGTTGACCAGGGAGCAGAAGAACCACCAGACTGGGGGTACCATGGAGACTCAGAGTACAACCAAAAGAATTTAAAGAGAATTTTTAAAAGATATTTTTTCGTATAAGAGTTTATGGACTAATTTCATAGATATTACATTACTATTTATACAATACCTTACACTTCACGTAGTTACATCACTTAGATTTGATTTTTTTTCTGTTACCATATGAAGATGGCAGGTGAGAAATTATATTGCATATGACAGATAGAACCTATGGGCACATAGAGGTCTGCCGCATCTTCCCACTGTAGCAACAATTCACTTGAATCTCACAAAGTGTGATTTGTGGAGCATACATGGTTCTTTCTGACCAGAAACATGTCCTCTATTGTGTGGCCATGGTGCCCACTTTCTATACTTTTGGTGTTATACCTTTAAAACTATCTTAAGAACCTGCTCAGTTTAAGGATTAAGTTATTACAGTTCTTATGAGGAGGGATATATAACTACTAACCTATCAGCAAGAGTTAAATAATTAACTCTTTGCCTACCCACCCCTTACTCCCTAGAAGTGAGAATAGTTGAAGTAGATCAAACCAAGAATGGGACCTTATCTAAAACATCTCTGTATACCTAGTAACTGGCAGGGTAGATGACTTTCATTTTCAAAAAACTAGAAAAAAACAAAACTGTTTGTGGGAATGATGTTAAGTAGATATTTTTAGTGAAGGGTTAGTAATGCAGCATAACATGTTGGAAAATACTCCAAATCAGAAAATAGAAATTACACCATTAATAGAAGACATGCTTGTACTACATCCCCTGGTAAGTGCTTTATAAGCATTATCCAATTTGCTTCTCTCTATGAAGACCTACTCAATGAAGTAGCTACTACTATCAGCCTCATTTTATGATAATCCTGAGGCTAGGAGAGGTTAATTTGCTCATGGTCACATAGTTATCAAGTGGGAGCGTCAGAATTCTACCCAGATTGGTTGATACCAATGCCCCAGGTTGTACCCATGATAAGTCATGGCTCTAGCATGATTTAGTTTTACTGTTTTCCTTATTGCCCCAATTTCCTTGCTTATGCGTAGGAAATAATGCCATGACTGCCTCACAGGCTGCTGTGATGATTGGATCTGGTCAGATATTTGAGAAAATGTACGGATGTATGTATCAAAAATGAAAGTGCTTTGTACACAGGGAAATGTTCACGTATCTAATTTATTTTAATTAAGGTATTTCACCAGCCAGTATTTTACCAGTGTCATCCTTTTTTAAGATTTTATTTATTTGACAGAGACACAGCAAGAGAGAGAGAGAAAACACAAGCAGGGGGAGTGGGAGAGGGAGAAGCTGGCTTCCCGAGGAGCAGAGAGCCCAATGCAGGGCTCGATCCCAGGACCCTGGGATCATGACCTGAGTTGAAGGCAGATGCTTAATGACTGAGCCACCCAGGCGCCCCTACCAGTGTCATCTTGAGCAAATCTTTTAGCTCTTCTGGCTTTAGTTTTCTGACCTAGTATTTGAAGGTTTTGGACTGGATGATTCCTAGATTCTTTCCAGCTCTAATGACTCTAATTTCTAATAGAAAAGCTATAATCATATGGACATCATTGAACTATGGGAAAAGTGGGGAATGGATCCACAAGGGACATGGCAAAATGTGGGATGAAATTAGCAGGGACAAAAACTCCATGACAACCATGACTCCAGAGAACAAGTGCCTAGAGGGTTTCTCCCTCTAATTGTCTTTTCTCCTATTATCTCCTTACCAATAACACATTTAAGAGTTTCTCCAGTTGTGGGCATCTCTCTTACTCTGAGTGGACAGCCTATTTCATGGCCAAAGGCTCCCACCTTGGAGAGTAGTAGAGCCCATCTGGAAAATTCCTTTGGAAAAGAAATAAGCAATTTCAGCCTGTGGCAAGCTCTGTCTTCTTGGGGAATCTGGGTCAAGGTGAGAGGGCAAGATTTGGTGAGAACAGTGGATTCTGTGCTATCTTAACAGCCATGAGATTCTTCCAGTAGGACCTGTGTGGAACAAGGTTTATGGTCCTCAGTCTCTCCCATTCTTCAGCTCTTCCTCACT